GTGAGCACAAACGGATTCATCCTCCTTCTACCACTGTGCAACAACTGAGGACCACCAACTGAAGACCACCAACTGAAGAGAAACAACTGAGGGAACCAACTGAGGGCACTAACCGATGGCAACCAATGAGGGCACCCACTGAAGGCCACCAAGTGAAGGCCGCTTGCCCTGCCAACCAGAACGCATCCTAGATCAGAGGAAACAATCAGGTCCAGAATCCCCTGCATGCCTCCCCACAAACTTGGAACTTGAGAGCACAGGCACATGGCTCACAAGGCCCTGCCCTGCCATCGGCCCTGCCCCACCTTTCATTCATTGCTGGCCGCTAGGACCTTTCAGGTTTCTCACTGTGAAGAAGTTCCTAGGGATCATCCCTTACAATGAAGGATGTTAAAATCACTGAAACCAAATGTGCCTCACGCAGTGTCTGGGATTCATAAAAGTCCCTTTCCCCCATAATCTCTGAAACATTAACAAGCTAAAAATAAGAGAGATTTCTGCAGGTGCTTTCAGAAAAAACCATTGCCATGAGCTAAGCCTACCCTATAATGTCAAGTCATATTTCATATATGCACATATATATCCAATCCACATATCTTCGATTTACATTTTTGAAAATAACACATATGTTCAAATTAACAAGACTAACACAAGAAATTTTCTAACATTTACTCACTAAGTACATCACATTTTTCTAATGATCACTTTGATAGAGCAACTTACAATCTATGGTTTCAAAACACCAAGAGGATTATGTAAGAGAAAACCACAACACAATACAAAATTTTCAATGTGAAAATCATTGCTACTTCTAACTAGAAATTACCCAGTGAATGCATTGTGAACTGCTTTGTGACCTTGGTTATCTATTTATTCTTTCTGACCATTGGTTAGATTGTTTAAGAAATATGAGTATCACCAATTTTATACACTTGTTCTGAAAATTAGATGAGAAAAAATAATCCTCCTCCTTCATATACTGAACATTTTAAAAAATTATAGGTATTGTGTCCAGATTTTTACACACTTACCATATAAAAGCCTCATAGTAACACTCTGTTTCAAATTACAAGCATTTTGCCATGGTTTTTACACACTTACCTTATGGAAATCTCAAAACAATCACATCTTTTATAGATGAGAAAACTGAGGCTTTGGATGCTTCTGGGTGAAGCTTGGGCCAGCAACGGCCAGAGGAGCTCCTGAATTTAAGCAGCATCTGTCACCTCCCTACCTTTGGGTGTCTTCTGATGGCCAGTGTGCTTCTGTCAGGACCCTCGTTGGCTCCGTAATTCGATTGGGCAGGCTCCATAGCAATGGAGTCCGGCACCACTGCCATCATCACCTCGTGGATCTCAGAGTTGCAGGACGGTTTCACCCACTGCACCCTGAGCTGGCCCCGCTTGCGGCTGGCATTGGGGGATAGCATGTTCCGGGCGCCTCTGCACCTGTATATCCCAGCCTGCGCCTTCACTGTCTGCACACTCGTAGACGTCGGAGCCACAGGCTGGCTCTGCAGAACGCTTTTTCTGGCCCCGACTGGGGCTGGTTTTGATGCACATGTGACAGTTTACTGTGGTCCACATGGGGCACCCCTGCTCTTGGGCAGTTTGGGCCTTCGCTTGCCCCCAAGTCTGCAGAGTTCAACACCTATTGCCTCTTCCTGACAAAAGCATGGCTGGCACAGGCAGCTGTGGGCCATAGGTGGCACTGTGCTAGCAGCCCACACCCCGCATAACCCCCATACCCTGAGCTGACTTGTCTGCTAAGAAAAAGCTGCCAGCCTGTCTGGTTTATTTTAGAAGGGCCTGGAGGCAATAAGCCTGAGAGCTGTGACTGGGGGAGGAGAGAGCACAAACGGATTCATCCTCCTTCCACCACTGCCAGACAACTGAAGAGCACCAACTGAGGGTACCAACTAGGGCACTAGCTGAAGGCAACCAGTGAGGGCACCCACAGAAGGCCACCAAGTGAAGGCCAGTTACCCACCCAACCAGACCACATCCTGGTTACAGGAAACAATCAAGTCCAGAATCTCCTGCATGCAACCCCACAAACTTGGAGCTTGAGAGCACAGGCACATGGCTCACAATACCCAGCCTTGCCAGCGGCCCCGCCCCACTTTTCATTCCTTGCTGGCTGCTAGGACATTTGAGGTTTCTCACTGTGAATAAGCTCCTAGGGGATCATCGCCTTATGATGAATGATGCTAAAATCACTGAAACGAAATCTGCCTCACACAGTGTCTGAGATTCATAGAACCCTCTTTTCCCAATAATCTCTGAAACATTAACAAACTAGAAATAAGAGTGATTTCTGCAGGTGCTCTCAGAAAAAACATTGCCATGAGCTAAGCCTACTCTATAAAGTCAAGTCGTATGTCACATATACACATTTAAATCCAATCAACATATATTCCATTTACATTTTTGAAAATAACGCACATGTTCAATCAAATTAACAAGACTAACAGAAGAAATTTTCTAAAATGTACACACTAAGTACATCACATTTTTCTAATGATCACTTTAATAGAGTAACTTAGAAGCTATGGTTTCAAAAACACCAAGAGGATTATGTAAGTGAAAACCACCACATAATACAAAGTTTTCAATGTGATCATCTTTGCAACTTTTAACTAGAAATTCCCCAGTAAATGTATTGTGAACTGCTTTGTGACTATGGTGATTTATTTAGTCTTTCTGATCGTTGGTTTGATCGTCTAAGAAATACAAGTATCCCCAATTTTATCAACTTGGTCTAAAAATTAATGGTCTAAAAAATGAGAGAGGTCAGGTGTGGTGGCTCACACCTGTAATCCCAGCACTTTGGGAGGCTGAGGCGGATGGATGACGAGGTCAAGACATTGAGAACATCCCAGCCAACATGGTGAAACACCGTCTCTATTAAAAATATAAAAATTTGCTGGGAATGGTGACGGGCACCTGTAGTCCCAACTTCTCAGGAGGCTGAGGCAGGAGAATCGCTTGAACCCCTGAGGCGGAGGTTGCAGGGAGCCGAGATCGCACCACTGCACTCCAGCCTGGGTGACAAAGTGAGACGCGGTCTCAAAAAAAAAAAAAGAAAGATAACCCTCCTTGTCCACGTGTTGAACATTTACAAAATGGCAGACATCGTGTCCAGTCTTTTACACACTTACCTTTTAGAAGCCTCATAATCCTCTCTTTTAAATTACAAGCATTTTGCCATGGTTTTTACACACTTACCTTATGGAAGCCTCGTAACAATCACATCTTCTATAGATGAGCAAACTGAGGCTCAGACAAGTTAAAACCACATTCACCATCACATCATAAAGAGCGATGGACCTGGGATTCAAATCCAGTTTTCTCTGATGCCAAAAATGGTGCCAGTTACAGAGCATCAAGTTATACCCAGAACATGGAGGGATCAGAACATGTGAATTGTCTTTTCTATCCCCTCATGTGTGAATTTCAATGGCTTGCACTGCCTCAAAACAATCCTAAACTCCCTTGCAGTGGTTCCCTTTTCTTTGGGGATGATGAGGAATCTGCATATTTAGACCACAAGCATCACCTTTTAACAGGTGTATTGATCAAAAAATGAAATTTGCTAAGCTGTATGTTACTAAGTGTGAATTGTCCAGCTTCTCTGCAATAAATAAAGGAGTTAGTCCACGTAAAAAATCACAGCATCCACTGAATTTGTGCGGAAAGATTTGGAACTATGCTGCAGGAGCATCTGACTGACAGCTGCGCAGAAGACCAGCCAGAACACACAAAGCAGGAGCAGCTCCCAAGGCCAGGTGTGGTGGCTCTTGCCTGTCATCCCAACAAAGTGGGAGGCCAATGTGGGTGAATCACTTGAGGCCAGGGTTTGAGACCAGCCTGGGCAACACAGTGAGACCCTGACTCTACAAGAAATCATTTTTTATTATTAGAATGAAAAACAGTACTTCTAACCGTCCATCATTACTTTAGGAGAGAGAGCTCTGCTCTAGAACTCAAGATATGAAATTGGGAGTCCCGATGTGGCTACTTAAGTTTAAATACAAGAGCTGTCAGACATTTCCTCTACCCTAATGAAATCTGTAGCATCCATTTTGTATTTTGAAAACTTAGTTTTGACCAGCCTAGGAAAAGAAGAAGAGGACCCAGAAGTGGACATTTGGGCAGAGCAATGAAAAGTAACCGGCTGGATGCAACAGGAAAGAAGAAGGGGTGCGGAGTCGAGTCAGAGCAAGTTCTCCTGCTTGGGCCAGGGGATAGGAAAGCGAACTAGAGGCAGGAGGGAGGAACCCTAGGCTGCGGATGCCTCTTGGAGGAACCTTGGGTGAGCAAGGCCAGAGGAGCTCCTAAGGCCAAGCGGTACCTGTCGCCTCCTACCTTTTGGCGTCTTCGGGTCGCCAATGTGCTGCTAGTCATGGCTCCCGAATCAGACTGGGCAGGCTCCAAAGCAGTGGAGTCTGGTGCTACTCCCACCGCCACCTCGTGGATCTCAGATCTGCAGCATGGCTCTGAACACAGCACCCTCAGCTGGCCCTGCTTGGGGCTGGCATTGGGGGTCAACGTGCTCCGGGCACCTCTGCTCCTCTGTGCTGGGGCCTGCGCCTTTGCTGGCCGCCCACTCATAGATGTCAGCGCCACAGGATGGCTCCGCAGAAGCCCTGTGGGAGCCCTGCCTGGGGCTGGCTTTGGTGCACATGCGACAGGTCAGCGTGGTCCCCATGGTGCACCTCTGCTCTTCTCAGGCAGCTGGGGCCTTCGCTTGCCCCCACGCCTGCAGAGCTGAGCACCTGCTACCTCTCCCCAGGAAAGGCCACCAAATGACACCAACTGAAGGCTCTAACTGAAGGCCGGTTGCCCTGACAACCAGATCACGTCCCGCTTAGGAGGAACCAATCAGGCCTTGAGTTCCCTCCACGCTCTGCCCTTCCATTTGTGATGTGGGAGTCCAGGCACTGGCTCACAAGGCCCCGCCCCCACAGCAGCCCCGCCCTACCTTTCATTCACTGATAGCTGGGCGCAACTTTCAGGTTTCCTCACTGTGAATTATGAATATAAACTATATTAAAATTACTGTAACCCAATGTGCTTCATGCACTATCCGGCATCCAAAGGATCCTCTTTTGCCCATGTTGGGGTTTTTGAAACTGGAAAGAAGACTGATTTCTGCAGATGCTTCAGAAAAAATCTTTGCCATGAGTTAAGTCTACTGTGTGATGTTAACATATATATATAAAAAATATATATATATCACATGCATTCAATAATTATATATTCAATTTATATGTTTTTGAAAATAACACACATACTCGAAGTAGCATGTGTAATAGGGAAATTTCCTAAAATTCGTACACTGAGTACATCGTATTTTTCTAATGATTTCATTAATAGAGCAGCTTTCTTGATGCAGCCCTTTTCACATGTTACTGGTATTTACCGTCTTTCATCAAATATGTCTTTAGAGTCGACTCAAGGCAAGATGTGGTAGAGAAATGTAAGAATCAACTAGCGGAGCCATTTAACTAGTAGGTGAGACACATATCCTCATTTTTTTGGAAATTCAGGCATTTTATTATTTCCTCTGCAAATATTTCCATATGCATCTCTAAATGTTAATGACTTAAAACACAAACAGTCCTTGACATCATATGACCTAGAGCAAATTAGCAGTAACCCTTAATGTATCAAATAAAGTATTCAGTTTTCAAGGTTTTCCTATTGTCTTGTAAATTATTATCATCATCCTTATCTTATAGTTATTTTATCTATTTATTTTTGAGACGGAGTCTCACTCTGTTGTCCAGGCCGGAGTGCAGTGGCACGATTTCGGCTTACTGCAATTTCTGCCTTCTGGGTTCAAGCAGTTCTTTGCCTCAGCCTCCCAAGTAGCTGGGATCACAGGCGCCTGCCACCACGCCTGGCTAATTTTTGTATTTTTAGTAGAGAGAGGGTTTCACCATCTTGGCCAGGCTGGTCTTGAACTCCTGACCTCGTGATCCACCCGCCTCAACCTCCCAAAGTGCTGGGATTACAGGCATGAGCCACCATGCCCAGCCTCTTATAGTTATTTTAATTGGGATCCGAATAAGGAGTATACATTCAAATTAGATGATAATATGTCTTTAATTTCCTTTGATATCCTTGAGTATATCACCTACATGTGTACCTACATCTTTATTCACATGCATTCTATTGGCTCCTTTAGTTTTGATTGAAGAAACCAGATTATTTATCCTGTGGTGTTTCAACACTCTGCATTTTTCTGATTGCATTCTGTGGTATTATTTATTGAACCTAGGATATAGTTTGGATGTCCCCTCCAAATCTCGTTGATATGGTTTGGCTCTATGTCCCCACCCAGATCTCATCTTGAATTATGACCCCCATGTGTGGACGCAGGGACTTGGTGGGAGGTGATTGGATCATGGGGGCAGTTCCCCCATGCTGTTCTTGTGATAGTGAGGGAGTTCTCATGACATATGGTAGTTTAAAAAGTGTCTGGCATTTCCTCTTTGCTCTGTCTCTCCTGCTGCCATGTAAGATGTGCCTTGCTTCTCCTTCACCCTCTGTGATGGTTGTAAGTTTCCGGAGGCCTCTGCAGCCATGCATAACTGTAAATCCCATCTCTACTAAAAATGAATAAATAAATA